AACACACACACACACACACACACACACACACACACATATTTTGTCAACAAAATAATTGTAATACTCGATGGTAACCGATCGATAGCTAAAAATGGAAAGCCATGACTCAGCTTACCTGAATATATTAAATTACCGTCATGGGAGGGAGAAAATGTACCTGTAGTGACCAGTGGGCACAGGCTCACAAAATAATTAATGTCAAGCCACTATGTCGGTGGCATTTTGTTTAGGTGAGTGATCACTGGGGTGTTGACTTGAGTAAGACACGACAACCCTAGCTGAAAACAAGGCACTGCATATTGGCCTCCATCAATCGCATGTTGATTGTCTGTATTGGTGTGACATTGTTTATTGTGTAACGTGGCAAAATTTTGTACATTTTGTATATAATATATATTAATGTATGTGTATTATGTTTATATGAGCATTTATCTCTCTCTCTCTCTCTCTCTCTCTCTCTCTCTCTCTCTCTCTCTCTTTCTTTCTTTCTCTCTTTCTCTCTCTTACTGTATTTGTGTGTGTCTTTGTATGTGTGCACGTGCGCGCACGTGTATGTGTGTGTATGTGTGTGTGTGTGTATGTGTGTGTGTATGTGTGTGTGTTTGTGTGTGTGTGTGTGTGTGTGATGGCTGTATGATATTTTGTATAATCATCGGGGAACCGTAAGATAAGCTCGCGAAAAAAGCGCTACAAAGACACCCTGTAAATGTCTCTGAAGGACTTCATCATAAATATTTCGACATCGGAGAACCTAACTCCTGACAGATCCAGCTGGATAGCAGCAATCACAGTTGACAGAAAATAATATGACTCTTGAGACTTCATGAATAAGAATAGCTGAAACCAAGAGAGTAGCCTGCTATATAGTTTCACACATCCACAAGTGTAAGAGGAGTTTTTAAGTGCTCAAAAATGTGGTTAACTTCTCTTTGCCACAACTGGTCTCATCGGCCACAGCAGAAGTTTCAAATCATCATAACATTTAACTCTTCTTATTCTTCTATTTCGTTTGAAAAAAATATTCTCCTTTGTGGATGTATTGGTCATCGTCAGACATTGACGGACGAGCTATTATTATCATTGCGTGTGTGTACGTGTGTGTGCCAGTTTATATATATATGCAAAACTTGCCATGGCTATACAGAATAAGCCATTCACGCCTTTCCTAATTGCTAATTATCATTTGTGTCTGCTTGGCAAACAATGGTGGTTACTCATGTATTTGTTTGAAATACTTCAACCGATTTTTCATTTACCCCCAATCCAAAAATATTCCCAGAATCATTTTCCTGAATGTATACAGATGTTCAAAGGGACGAATAAAACACATCAATAAACCAAAGCATCAACTGAAAATTGCAAAATGAAAAAGACATTCTAACAAATTCCAGACAAACCACAATAACAATATAATACCATGGGTCAAATACAGTACTGGAAAGGATCATAGTTTGTCCCAAAAGACAAGTTCAACTTATAAATACAAACCAAAAGCAAATTATATAAATCAATACCAGCCAAAAATAACTATAGACAAACATGCAAACACACAAACACACACACACGGATAGATAGATAGATAGATAGATAGATAGATAGATAGATAGATAGATAGATAGATAGATAGATAGATAGATAGATACTCAGACAAATATACATAAACAAACTTACACACGCACGCACATACAATGCGTACACGAACGCATACACACAGAAATACTCAT